AAAAAAAAAAAGAAAACCCCAAAAAAAAAAGTTTCAAAAAGGAAAAAAATATTGCGGTATATGAAAAAGAAATTTTTTAATAGTTTTCGTAAAAAATTTTATTACTTTTTTTTCAAAAAAAAAAAAGGTTATAATTTCCATGTAAAAATGTTCTGTTTTTGAAAAAAAAAAAAGATAAAATTTTAGGAAAAAAAAAACCCAAGCTAATTTTTGATTTATTTTATTAAACAAAAAAAAAAAAAAAAAATAAGTTTTTCTGGCGAAAAAAAAAAAAAAAAAAAAAAAAGAAGCAAAAAGAAATTTCTTGCTTTCCATATTTTTCAAAAAAAAAAATTAAAAGAAGAAAAACTTTCATCAGTTTTTGTTTTTTGGACTAAGTTTAATTGTTTCAGACCAGAATTTTATTTCTCGGCTTATTTACTAGTAGTTAAAACAGAAATCTTGATTTGGCCTTTTGAAAAAAAAAAAAAACAAAAAAGGTAACAAAAAAAAGGGAACAAGGAAGAAAATTGGAAAAAAAAATGGACGGTGGTTCTTACCCCCAAAATTCCAAAAACCACTCCCTTCTCCCTCCAAGTTTTTAAAAAAAAATCTTTCTTTGGGCAGCAATAAAAAAGAAAAAAAAAAAAACCTAAAAGTCTGGACGGGCGCTTGTGTGAGTTTTGCTGGAGAGAGGAGAGAAAAAGTCTTTCCGCCAGCAGAGAGTCCATCTTGAAAAAAAACGTGGAGTTTTCCTCCTCAGAAAGGGTTTGGTTTCCGCTTTTTTTCAACAAAAATCTTTCATTGCAAAGGAAACTGCAAGAAAAAGGGAAGAGGAAAATTTGCCTAAGCGTAAGAAAAAAAAAAAAAACTTGCTTGTTCTTGTTCCTCCCTCTGTGGGAACCCAGACTCAAAAAACAAATCCCTTGTTTTTCCTTTTTAAGACAAAAAAAAAAAGAGGCAAAAAAATCTCCAAAAAAGTCAAAGAAAGGGTCTCCATTTCTTTTTTTTTCAAACAGAAGACAATCATTTCCACCACTTCTTGTTGCTCTGCTGTTAAAGCAAAGAAAATTGATTGTGTATGGTCTGTGGCAAATTTTGTGACTGTTTTTCATTTGTTTGTTCTTTTCCCCTATGGCTACAAAACGGCATGCTCAGAAAAATAAAGAGCAAAAAATTAAAAAAGAAAAAAAAAAAGGGGCTCTGTCCCTTTTTTTGATGTCTGGGGCGTATGGTTGGGAAAAAAAAAAGGGAAGACGGTTTGTTCAAAAGCAAAAATGGCTGCTTTTCTTTTACCAGAAATTTTTTTTTCCCTTCTTAAAAAGCCAGGGGGCAAAAGGTCGGTAAATACCCTTTTTTTTTGGCTGTTTAACCTTCCAAAAGGCGTGGGTTTTCAAGCAAACGCGCCAATTTTTCGCATGGCAGAAAATGTTTTTCAACTTTTTTGAAAAAGATGGTATTTTTTAAAACAAAAAAAAGCAGGAAAAAAAAAAATCCCCAAGAACCTTAACCAAAAAAAAATTTTTTGTTTTGTCAACCAACCAGAAAGGTGCGGTTTTGGTTTAAAAAAAAACCGAAAAGGTTTTTGCCGCCAAAAAGCTGGAATTTCCTTAGAAAAGTTTGTGAGGCGGCTTCTTGTCCTTGTTTTAAACTGAAATTGTTGGCCTTCCCAAGCATTTGTCCGCTTAAAGAAAACCCTGAGAAAAAAAAAACGGCTTTAAACCCCTGTGTCAAAGAAATCCCATGCAAAATCAAAAAAAGTTTTGCTTCCTGATCGCAAAAATCTTCGCCAAAAAAAAAAAACTGACAAAAAATTTGGCAGTAACAAATCAGAAAAGTTTTTCTTAATTTGGCCTTTTTTTTAAATGAAGAGGGGCTAATTAAAATAAGCCTCCCGTCGAAATCTCTTCCAATTTAAAAAACTAAAAAAAAAACCCGCTACTTCTCTTCCTTTCCAAAAAAATTTTTCCCTAAAAATTTTGGGAAACTATATTTGGACGTTAAGGATATTTTTGAAAAGGGGAAAAAAAAAAAAAAAAACAATCGGTTGGCTGTATTGAATTTTGAACATTTAAAAAAAAAATTTACATACCCAACCTATGGGCTTGTTGGACCACCATTATGCTTCGCGGATGCCCTCTTATTTTGGTTTAAGATGCGGAAAAAAAACAGGGTTTAAGCTTGCTGCCTGATCAGGGGCCTGTCAAAATGGTTTCGCTTTAAAAGAAAAACGCCTTTTCTTGCCCCAACAAGGTTTGGAAGGAAAAAAACACAAGGGGAAAAGAAGCGGGGGGAAAATTTTTGCACTTTTGGCTTCCCTGCTTGGCCCATTTGGTTTCCGGGCTGGGAGCGTCCAACATGATTTTTTCTTGCCCCGACCGAAAGTTCTTTTAATTTGGGCCTGGCCCTCGTACCTTTTTTTAATTTAAGGGAATGAAATTTAATTGTTGTTTGATTTGCAGGCAACCCTGGGTCATGTTAAAAATATTAACCACCTTGTTTCCCTTTTTCCCCTCAAAAAGACCCTGGCGCCTGGTTACTTCTTCTTGCGTTGGCCCAAAATCTTTCAATTTTCCCTCTTTTTTTCTTCCTTCTTTTCCCCTGTCCCTTTGAAAACTTTTTCAAGGCCTTTTTTTTCTTTTTTTTCCTGTGGTTAAGAAAAACTAATTCTTGGAAAAAAAATGGAAAACTAGAAAAAGAAAAAATTTTCACTTTCCCTTCGTGGGCACTTTCTTCCCCAAAAACATCGCCTTCGTGTGGCGGTAAACAACCGGTGATAAAGGTAGCAATTTACAAAAAAAAAGAAAAAAAAAAACCATTTTTCACTTTCTCTTTTTGTCCTTGTTTGTTGTTTTGGACCTTTTACGCCAAAAGTTTTTAAAAACAAGGTTTGGACTTTTTTTTCCTGAGTTCTGAAGTAGGAAATTGATGTTCAAGTGCTCCAAATTTTGGTTGTTGCAATTAAAAACCTTCTCCACAAAAATTGAAACTTTTTTCAAGTTGAAAAAAAAATACGCTTTGCTTTAAACCTTTCTTGCTTTCTCAGTTAACTTGTTCTTTTTTTTTTTGTCTCTTTGCATTTTTGCAAAAAAAAAGCCCCAAGGACAAAAAAAAAGAAATTCACCCCAAAGAATCCTTTTTCGCTTAAAGAATTCTCTTTGGAAGGAATGAACTCTGTTAAAACAAAAAAAAATTTTGTTGTGGAATAAATTGAGTTTAATTTTCAAGTTGTCAAGATAGTAAAAAAAAAATTATTTAAAGAATGAAAAGTTTTTGCCCAAATCAAAGGAATGGCCCTAAAAAAATTTCCACTTTTTTCTTGAAAGGAAAATTTATCTTCAAAATGTTTTTTCTGACTGGTAAAAAAAAAAATCAAAAAATATTTTATTTTTTTAACTCATTATTTTAAAAAAATTAAGAAAGGGGGAAAAAAGAAAAAAAACGTGGTATTGAAAAAAAGAAACCAAAAAAAAGAAAAAAACAAGTTTTTGTCCCAATAGAAAGACTTTCAAAAAAAAACAATTGGCTCGTTCCCAGTCCGCATGGAAAGGCGGGTATCTTTCATTGGAAGGCCCCACAAAACAAATTCAACTATTTGGATTTTCCTGGGAAAAACCGAAAGCATGAGGGCAAAAAAAAAAAAAGGAAAAAAAAAACAAAAAAAAAACAGAGAACAATAAAAGTCACCAAAGGGAAAAAAAAAAAAAATAATTAAAATTTGTTGTCCATATTTAAAAAAAAAGAAAAAAAAAATGAAAAAAACAAAAAATTGCTTCAAAAAAAATTTTACAAAGGTTAAAAGCTTCTAAAACTTGGTATTCCCCACCAAAAAAAAAAAAAAAAGAAAAAATAAAAAAAGAAGGAACATTCTTAAAAAAAGTATTAAAGAATAAAAAACGCTGGCTGTTATATTTAACTTAAGCAGCAACCTTTAAAAAAAAAATATTTTTTCTAGAGAAAAAAACAATTTAAAAATTCTAGAAAAAAAAATAATTTTTTTTTCGTAGACATAAATTTTTTATGTGTTATAATGATATAAAAAATCTAATAAAGGAACTTGGGCAAGAAAATTTTGGGAAAAAAAAAGAACTCTTGGAAGTACGTTGTTTTCATTGTTTTTGGAAAAAAAAGATTAAGGCTGAAACATCTGGTTTTTCCAAAGGCTGGGGCTTTTATTTAGGTAAAAACAAGGGGGCCGGGGAAAAAAAAAAAAAAAATATTTCTTTTGAATTAAAAAAGAGAGGGTTTTTTTTAAAAAAAAAAAAAAAAGTTTAATTACGGGATTAGAAAAAGAAAAAAAAAAAAAAATGGTTTGGAATTATACCAAAAAGGAAAACACAAAAAAAAAAGAAAAAAAAAAAAAGGAAAAGAACAAAAAAAAAAAAAAAAAAAAAAAAA